TTTAGCGTTCGGACTGAATATTCCATAAATTGCTATGATTTGGGATTTCGCGATTGAAAACCGAAATGATTTGATTTTCATGATTTGTGCTGAGATTTGTGCGGTGTTGGGCTACTTGCCGACCGAGCGCGCTAGCCGCTGTTATTTTGACAGAAGATGATACCTCTACACTTTTCAGCCGTACTACATAATGCGCGCATTGTAATCATATACATATCGTTTAATATAGCTTCATAAACTTGACAAAATCAAAATTGCTGTATTTTGTTAAATGTAAAATGCGCAGCATGTTGCGCACATTATCAAAGAAAAAAGTTGACTTTATTAGACTGAAATAAGCAAGATTTCCCGTTACATACATTATATATACCGAGACGGCGGCTTTGCATGTGCTCTGGCAACGATCACACCATTGCGCTCCGGAACCAACACGAATAACATGTTTTTTATCAAGTTTTTGAAGTTAAATTAAACTATATGTATATGACTACAATGGGCGCATTTATATGTATTACGGCTGAAAAGTGTAGAGGTAGGCCTATAATATTGGTCCATATTCTGTCAAAATAACAGCGGCTAGCGCGCTTTGTTGGCAAATAGCCCGTAGCAATTTATGGAATATTTCCTAAAGCCACATACACATGAAATGTTCAGTGTCTATCTTTAATAAGGGCTACGAACCGGCATATACTAGGAGATAAAATGGCAAAATTTGACTGAGGCTAGAGCGTTATCCACTTATCCAGTTACAGCGTCAGTAGAATTTATAGCCGTTTGTATCAGACATGTGCAACTGATCGACATAGTTATTCGCGACGTTCGTGATAGGGACTATAACAGTTCCGATTTCCGAAGCTAATAAACGTATGTCCTATAACTTAAGACATTTTATCATCAAACTGATACATCTATAGACTTATTAGACTATACGAAACGGAAATATTTACTTGTTATACTACAGATAAGAACAAGAGACAGCATGTATTTGATTTTATTACTGGAGATTTGTTGCGTTAAATTTTCCTGTATTTATGTAGCGCATAAAAGGAAAAAGTACGAAACAAAATATTAAAAATAAAAATAATATTTTCGTGAAAAAAAGCGTTTTTAGCACATTTTATGACCCACGACTTTACTCACGACACACGACTTTTAACCCACGACACACGACATATAGGGACACTCGAACCAAACAATACGATAACCAACGCACACAAAACGAGATAGATAGATAGATAGTGTATTTAAAATTCATCTTGCAGCTGGACAGCTGAATTGCGTGATTTACAAGAGTATATAAAACATTATTTAATTAACAGATAGAATATGGATTAATTAGGCATATTTATAAATGGTCATTAAAACGCTTAGTACTAAAAATTACATTAACTTAAGTTACTAGACATAGGAATAAAAGTTTTTTTAAATCTTTCTGTATTAGTTTCGAATCGTTCAAACAGTCTATTGTTCCTAAGTTGGTAAACCGACTCATGTTTGGGAGGCAGCAAATTATGCAGTTTGTGTGTCGGATTGTTAGTAATATTTGTGAAAAGTTTGTTACACATTTCTTCGCGTCTTTGGAACAAAGTTTGAAGATTAAAATATTCTAAAGTTTCGCTATATGAGTTCGCGGGTAAAATGATCTTCAGTGCTCGCTTTTGTACCGTCTCAAGATCTTCTGACAGGAAGGATCAATGATGGGATTGAGTAATGGAAAACCGGGGCACAATATTCCAAAATGGGCCTGATAACTGTACAGTAGAAGTTTACAATGTCTTTCGGACTGACTTTTGCGCGCTTAAGTAAGATAATGAAGTAAAGACGTTTGTTAGCTTTTTTGATGACTTCGTTAATGTGGTTAGTCCATTTAAGGTTACTAGAGATGGTGAGGCCTAGAATTTTAGCGTTTTGGACAACCGGCAATTTCTTCCCGTAGACTGTAAGAGGGTCGAAGTTCTGTTTCGTGGATTTAAAGTCGATTTGGAGTTCTTTACATTTATCTGCATTAAGAAGTAATCTGTTGGAATTCGACCAGTTTTCTACTGTGGTAACTGCGTCTTGGGCTTTGCTGGTATCGCCTTTTTTAACAACCTCAGAAACGGTTGTATCATCGACATACTTCCAAGTAGATACTTCAGTGATTTTAAGATCATTGATCATCCATAGAAAAAGCCATGGCCCAAGTTTCGTACCTTGAGGGACACCAGCCGGGACAGCACCCCACTCTGAAACGCAGTCGCTTGCGAGTTTAACTCTTTGTTTTCTGTCCAATAGAAAATCAATAGTCCAGCGTACGACTGCCTTCGGAATTGGTAATCTGGAGATCTTATCAGCGAGTATACAATGGTCAATAAGGTCAAACGCTTTTTTATAGTCGAACAGGGCTACTCTGACTGCTGCGCCAGTGCCATCAGTTGATTGGGACCAATTGTGGATCATTGATATCGCTGCCATAGATGTAGAGGATTTTAGTATCACTCCAAATTGGTTGGGGTCGATTTGACACAGAATAGCTGGCCCAATGTATTTAGAAACAACGAATTCTTCTGCTACTTTAGAAAGGGCTGGGGTGAGGGATATTGGTCTTAAATGTTTACAAATTTCGGTTACCGGTTTCGTTTTTATGATTGGAACAACATCAGCTGCTTTCCACGAGGCAGGGAGTCGTTGTTCATTAAAACTGCTGTTGAGAATCGAACTGACAGGCTGGGCGAGGACTTCTGCATATTCGTTTAACACCCAATTCGGAACACCGTCTGGGCCTGAGGCTTTTCTGGGGTTAAGGGACGCAAGCCCTTTATACACATCAAATTCATCGAGATGGAGGACAGAGTCATTTGGATCGTAGGAGGGAAGAGAAGTAAGAGGTTGGTAAGTTTTCATGGGGTCTAGGAAGGCTGTGTTTATGAGATTTGCAATCTCATTTGGAGACTTCCGGTCAAAATCGTCAATGTGAATTTGGTTATATAGATCTTCCGCTCCCGTTGAGGGAGGTCATACCAGCAATCTGTTTTACTTCTTTCCACCAACGACTTGGTTTTGACTTTTTTAGATGTTCAACCTTCAACGAATAAAACTTTTCATGGCATTTTTTTCTTTCGCGATTAACTCGGTTGCGGTAATACCTAAACAGTTCGTTATTGCCGTTAGAAAATGCTGCTTGGCGTTTTTTTATAAGAATCTTAAAATTAGCTGTGATCCAAGGGGGATCATTCACATGTAGTGTTATTCTTCTTTTGGGCATTAGGATATTGATACCCAGGTTAATAAGATCAGTGAAAAGCTCAAGTTTTTCTTCACAGGTTTCGAGATGATTTAGGATGGACCAATTACAGGAGGTTAGGTATCTTCCGAGTTCGCTCTTTTTACTGGGACGCATGTTTCTACTTATGACGACCTTTCGACTATCTGATTTATCGCATCTGTTTTTAGGGTTTAGAATGACCACATTATGATCTGAGAGGCCAAAGGGAGGATGTTTCTCTACAGAGTCTTTAGCGTAAAACGAGTATAAGTTGGTGATAATTAGATCAAGAGTCTTGTCAGCTCTGGTAGAAACATTGACCATTTGTTTGCATTGAAACTGGTTCAGCAGACGGTTAACTTTTAATTGGTTGAAGTCTCCTGATAACATTAGACCACAGCCTGGATAATCGCTTTCAATGGTGGCAAGTGATATTGAAAGGTAACTGAGCATTTCATGATCATCGGCGCGTGGTGGGTGGTATATTACGCCAATTACAAGACAGGTAAATCCACGGGGTAATCTTTTGGGAGTAAGACGTACCCAGAGAACCTCTAACAAGGGATGCTGTAGATGGTCTAAACATTCAAAGGATATTGAGTTCTTAATATATAAACCCACACCTCCATGACAGCCCACTGAACGGTTTTTGAAGATGAAATTATATCCATCTATATAAAGACACGATTCGTCAATTGATCCATGGAGCCAAGTTTCGGTGATACAAGCAGCGCCTGGATTGTGAATTTTCATAAAACAAGAGACTTCGTCAATTTTAGGGGTGAGTGACATGGTGTTTGTGAGTAATATTTTGGGCACGAACGTCTTTTTGTTCTCATTTTGGGTTTTAGATGAGACAGTAATTAAATTACCGTGTGTTCTTGAGGGTATTTTATAAGATTTGTTAAAACTTCTACATTTCTTTTGTTAAAACGACATATTATGGTTGACATGATTTCCCAATAAGCTTATGAATTATTAATGATGTATGAAAGGCGGTTTAATACGTTAAAGTCTGCGATAGCCTATACGATGACCTATAGCGGGATCAACAAAAGGTCAACTGGCACAATGACCCAATGTTACCAAACCTTAATTGACGAGTTGGGACGTCTGGAAGTTGATATTCAAGACCCTGACAGGATCAGTTTACTGTGGATTGTTTGCTATCGCCTTCGCGTGCGAATCAGCAGTTGGAAAACAGCAAGTGGACGATGTATACAGTAATAATCAAAAGAACGGAAATCGGCCTCTAATTGCCGCGAATTTTTTTGTCGCCAGATTTATGAATTGGAGAGATTCTTGCATGCAGTCTTAAGATCATCCGGGAAAATTCCATGTTTGAGTGAAGAATTAAAAAAAATACTAAAAATGGCGCCACGGCATCACTCGCATTTTTTAAAAGTTTGGCTGGGATATTATATGATGTCTAGTTGACATAGACGTCTTTAGTGTCTCAAGTGCATTTAACCCTCCATGCATGGATATTAATGTTTTTGAAATTGAACTTATGTCGAGCTTTAATTTCATATAAACGTTTAAACCTTAAACTCTAAGCGCGCAAAGCTTAATGGGAGCACAAGTTTCAAGTCCGTCCTGACTGTGTGGCTCAGTTGGTAGAGCATCGATCTAGCAATTCGAAGGTATAGTAATTCATACCGGAGTATACCAATCAGGTACATGACTAAATTAAACAACCAACAAGACTCATGCGCGGTCACCTTGACTCTGTATTACTATAGCGACAGTGTCCTACCTTCTGATGCGCAATGAATCTGAACCTCTGGCCCAAGAGTAGGTGTTTCCAAATCTTAAAAACAGAACGACATTAATCCAGGGATTATAAAAAAGCTAAAACCCAACAACGGGGTGGAAACATTTTCATTATACTTTAACCCTCCAAAACGTTGTACTATCGAAACGTATAGCGAGAGTCTATACAAACAAATTTTAGGTATACATGTGATACTATGTGTATAGAAATTGATAGGTGCATGGAATTGCAACATTTCAAACGTGAACATGCATGCGCAATATACATTTGTGAAATTTATAATTTTCATGAGAACCACATATTCTTCCACATGCATAAGAAACTGAAGTTCATAATTATGTGCAAATTAATTGCAGATGTGAAAATGTGCAACTATATATAAGGCATTTTTCACACGCGAATTCATATCTGTGAAATTTTTGTAAGGGGTTTGCAAGTAATCCGAAAAATCACCTGAATTGATATAGCTAAAGCAGTAGAAGCTATAGAACGTACTGTAAATAAATTTTGATCTAGGTTAGACTTATCAATCTTGATCAACGGCCCACCACCACATGCCCACCAACCTGCTTTCTTCGTAGCTAAATTGTAGTTAACTTTAAAATGCATGATTCTGATTGGCTAACTTTTTCACGAATTATAATTAACTTTAACTACTTTTTATACAACCGGCTCCAAGCAATCACCGATTACACAATAAGAAGTACAGCGGCGATGGTGCATATATAGTTGCACTATAGTCGATTTCACGAAACTTTGACCACAAATGTTCCGAAGTTCGTTGCGAAGTTCGCAAGTTCGTTGCGAAGTTCAAAAGTTCATAATGAGATTCACAAAACAGTTTGTAAACTATACGCATCTGATTGGCTTATTTTACTTCAGTGACCAATCAGGGACTTTGTTTAAAAATTGACTTGTGAATTCCAATATGAACTTGCGAACTTCGCAACGAAGTGGAACATTTGCATGTGGTCTTATATGTGGTCAAAGTTTCGTGAAATCGACTGTAATGTTTTTTTACCATAATCTAAACTATACCTCCAGAATTGAAATCAAACGGATGTAATTCGGGAAACAATTCAGACACGGGGGTCTAAACGAAAAAATAGCAACGATTTGTGAGAATTTTCTATTTCCACATAAATGACCAACTCTGAAACATTTAAATTTCAAAACGCTAATTCAATTTTCGCCAGAGTCTTTATTAGGGATAATCATTATTGCATGGGCTTATCATTGCATGATTCAGCCAAAATTTCTAATACTATAGGCCTACAACTTTAAACATATAGACAAAATTAACATTTAGCCTAATTATTTTCCGTAAAATTTAGTTTCTAAATTTGATTTAGCAAAACGAAAAATAGTAACGCATGAAACAAATAATAACAATACACCTAGTCGGTACAAATCTGTTTCTTAATTTGTTTTGAAGAGGAAGGGAGGCTGCATGCATGCTTATTGGACGGGGCTTAGATCCCTGTTTACACTGGAGCAAAAGATTCCGGATTCATGCATGCATAACGAATCCGAAACGTTTCCATATACCAGGTTCATGTTGCCGTTTATACACACGCTGCGACGAATTCGATTGGATAGAAACATATTAATTTATTTTTATGCATGGCCGCTCTACTAACGCGGAGAATGTCTCTCGCGGTCTTTAAATCAGGCGTTATAGAACTGATATAGTTAGTATGGAGGACAATATCATTGACAGATCGAAACTTTAGCGAATCCGGAATATTTTGCTCTAGTGTAAACGATGTCTCAGAAGACTTTCTGTACCAATAGTGTAGGAAAGTGTTTATCTATGTATTACCTGATCAACAGCAGAAGTACTTGGTTTATATTTGCAGTTCTTGTCTATCATTGCTAATATTAAAGAGCAAAGCAAAGATGGTAAAAAATTATATATAAAATGTATTAATTCATGTTTACACCCAAAAGCATATTGCTTATCAAGAGAGTTCACATCCATATATGCATGGAGATATTACAATCACACACACATGCATGCATGCATGCACACAAACAAATAAAAATTTGGCTTGAGGTTTTTAAGTAATATTTCAAATCCGAGTTAGTGTTTTAGACGTGGTTTCTAAATACAAGTGCCAAGTTTAAAACACTAACGAGGATTTGAAATTGCTTCTCACACATCATTAGACTTTCATAGCAATGAGGCATGAAATTATTAGATATTCAAAAACGTGAGCGTGGGAATTAACGATTACATTCGCTTGAAAGTTTGCATGAAGTGTAAAGCCTGCAGCACACGAGAGCTATCTGCTGAGCAAAAAGTTACTCGTGCCTGTTAGCTCACCGATCAAACATGTTTGATACGTGAGAAAAGGTTGCATGAGGCAAAAAACTCAGTAAAATGTACGCGCACACGGTGAGCTATCGGCTGAGCTAACAGGCACGAGTAACTTTTTGCTCAGCACATAGCTCTCGTGTACTGCAGGCTTAACGAAGCATTCAGTTCGCTTTCGTCGTAAATAGATGAATTTTGTTGGCAAAAGAGCATGGCATCTTCGAGAACCAGAAAGAGTTTAGCACAGTATTGAAAATGTAAGGAAAGCCACTCGCTGACAAGGGTGGAGATCCGAAAAAACGATATATCAGATTGTGTGTGCGATAAGGCGCTATCTGGTGGAAAATGGAAGAGCCGAAGTGAATATATTAGACTGTAAACATTACTATAAAACGCTGTTTACTATTGATAGTTGGTAAAAAATCGTAATTTTCCTTTTCGTATATTTATGTAGTTTTTAAACGTTCATGCAGAAAAAGTGTTAGATGTAAAGTGTAAAATTTCTAAATACAGCTTACTGTATTTAGAAATAATTCTAAACATAGCAATTAAATATATTTGCATAATCTTTTGTTTACCCCTCAATTTCCCTATTGTTCAAAGCCCTTCCCACTTGAAGTAATTAAAGTCCTGGTCTAGACGGGGTATCCAGATAGATACATGCACGTGATGTAAATTACACCATGTCATTGGCCGAAATGCTATGCATATCTAATGATGTGTGAGAAAAATATATTCACCTTGTACATCATTTGATAATAGCTCAACATGTTCTTGTGAAATCCCACCACTTGAACCTGAAAACACAGCATATTATAGTGTAATTACATTAATCTAATTGAGGAGAATTAGTGACTATAAATTTGAAACCGCAATATTAGCGGTGCTATTTCGAAGCATAACAGAAAAGCACGAGCTCAACATGACAAACAATTTGCCGATGGTGGTTTATATGTAGGGAAGCGATATAAATATTTGTCCGGTAATGTCTGTATATACAGACAATCACATTATGGCGTATATTACTTTACTTTGCCGTTTCAAAAACATGCTTGGCCATGCATTTACAGTGCCTTTTAGCGCTTTGAATTTACCGTTCACACTAATCAAAATGTTATTTAAGCAATTAATGACCCAAGTTGTTGATTTTTGCTCCACTTGCTTGACAAACACAACATTAAACACAATTTCTTATTTTTGTGGAAGAGGGGTTCTGGATTGTGAAGAGTCCATTTGTGTAATGACAAGCATCATCCCTTCTCATACGTCACACCCTATTAGCTGCACTGATTCTGAACTGGCTGCTCATAATCTGACCAAGATTCACTTAAGCAATTTTCGGCATCTTCCCCTGAGATTCAAAAGCGGTCACGAGGTGCCCAAAGAGTTCATGATGTGGTACATAAAATCAATTCCGCGCGTGTGCAAATCTTGAGGAACAAATTTACCACTTTAGCGGTTTCGGTAGTATCAAAGTGAAATCAAAGGACTAAACAATCTGTTAAGCATAAAACTTACCTTCTTGACATACTATTGACCAATTATCAGAAATTCCGCTTTGACTCATCAATTCCTACAGTGATGTAAATTTAGAAAGTTTATTGAATAGTCCACTGGCGAGTAAATATACCAATTCGATTTTTGAGCGTTTAATGGGAGTTTTTGGCCTTATTTTTTTTTCTCTACTAACTAAAATATTTTAATCTATTGCTTAAAAAAACAGATAAAGGTGAGAAAACATTTAGAAGCTATAAAATTTTATATCAATCTAATTTTCCCGTAACTTTATATAGAAGATCGGGAAACCTCAGATTGCAACGGAAAAGTAAAAAAAAATCCTATCATTGCGAATTTTGAAATGAACAAATGTTTTACCAATATAAAGTATAAGTATAAGTTTTATAACGATTTTATATAAGCAACTGGCAGATATAGTCCTCGGTGTCTACAAATTTTTATCTTGTTCTATCTCATTTCTCGTTGGAGTGATACTAATTCAGTTTCAAATTAAACATAAAGTTATTGTGATTCAGTGGATTTATCTTTTGTGCTGTTTGTTTGTAAATCGTCGCATATATTCTGGATTTCCATTACCGAAGTTGTTTATCGTGTTGCAGTGCCTATCCTTACGAATCGTGAAATTTGGTTTCGTCTTTTTCTCGTTTTCTGCTTATTGGATTTGCTTCAAATTTTCCCTGTGGTCTACGTGTTTTGTTCCTGTTATCGTCTCAAGTTTTAGTGTTTAAACGTTAAACTCAATTTAAATAATTTGAGTTATAAAATTTGACCGTTGGGATTATCTGAATAAATAGCGTCAAGTGTCGTTCGTCATGGCAACATCTTTATGTACCTGTAAAGGAGTTTCCGTCGTTTAAAGTCAAGTTTCTACGCTGGAATCGTTTTTTGTCTGTTATTCGTAACATTTTGAGTTACTTATTGTTCTCCATGGTGCAGTTTGTCGTGTGTTTTTTGTGCGTTAATGTTTCATTTATATTCTGTCGCGTATGAACGAATTCCTGACCTTTGACTTTGGTTTTATATCTTGAATAACGTCTCTGGTTTCAACACAATAAGGGGACTCCCCTATTAGCTATACATAAAATTAAAATTCCGAAATTTGGTGTATAAAGTGCTTATTATCAAGATTATTGGATAAACTTTTGTCGCTGTTGTGAATTTCAACCGTCAACCTTTATTTCCCACCTTGCATTATTGTTCATCTTTAAATCTATCTACGATTATGATAACCATCAGACTTGTCATAGTTCTCATCCTTTTCCTGCTGCTGTTTACTCGACAGAAAACGTCACGACCTCTCTACAACGATAAGAGCCTACCCTCCAACGTGACTGTTAGTTCCGAACTTGCCACTATACCTGACAGAATTTGCTCTCTTTGGTGTTTTACCCGTGATAGTAAATTAAGGAACATTAGTTGTCCACCGAACCACCGCTATGCCTATGGCCTAACCTTTCAAGTCAACCGTAGAACTTCGCATGCGTTAATTTGTATTCTCCTTTCTGGGGATATCTCCTTAAACCCGGGTCCTAATAGTCAACATCAACAACCACAGATGCAAAGTTTGAAAAGTTATCCTGCAACATGCCTTGTCATTAATGCCCGTAGTCTAAAAAGTTTGCACGTAACAGATGACAAACAAGTATGTAATCTATCTCGTTTCCAAAAGCTTGTTTATTCCGAGTCAGCCGATCTGGTGTGGGTCACAGAAACGTGGCTTACTAAAGACATTCATAACGCTGAAATTCTGCCAACTGGTTATTCAATCTATAGGAAAGACCGTAAAACGCGCAACGGTGGCGGTGTTCTACTAGCAATTAAATCAGATTCATTTAATTCATCTCGAGAACTAGTTAATCCATCTGACCTCGAAGTGACCTCTGTAGAAATAATCACCCACTCAAAACTAAAACTGTTAATCTGCTGTTGCTATAGACCACCTAATGCTGAAAAGATCTGGTTAGATAAATTTAACTTGATTTTGGCTGATCTGTCGTCTCGTCATGATAACATTATAATTTGTGGTGATTTCAACTTCCCTAAAGTAAACTGGCTATCTCCTGCTAAAACGTTTGGTGCTGACGAAATCTCATTCACAGAGCAACTGAACGATTTCTACTTAACCCAACTTAACACTCTAGCTACAAGAGGTGTCAATATACTTGATTTAGTTATCTCCACTGTACCGAACCAGATAAATAACATCACTTTGCTCAATCCAGAAAATAGCGGCCTGTTTACTGATCACTCGGTTATTATTTTTGATCTAAAGACATCTATTAGAGCAGGTCCTAGGCTAAACCGATCAGTTTTGGATTTCCGGAGGGGTGACTTCGATGGCCTTCGTTCTGCTTTACAAGCGATTGATCTCTCCACTATAATACAACAAGATTCTGACATAAATGAAGATTGGCTGCTGTGGAAAGACACTTTTCTCACAAGAGTTAAAGATTTTGTCCCTTCTCGAAAGATCAAAGGAAGAAACTCCCCTCCTTGGTTAACTTAAATGGCAATAGCCTGCGAGCAGGCTCTCTGGGGAAAGAGAGCCTGCAAGGATCCCTATGATGATTGCGTGCCACCCTTCAATTATGATGTCACAGGTCAATTAATAACAACCAATCAGCGCAGACCGGAATACATTACGATATTGTAAACATAAACCGATTCGTTTCAAATTCGTTAATAGTTTCGTATACAGACCGCCACTGTGGCATACTAAAAAGTTAAAACGGCTCGAGGTTTTACAGAGTAATATATCAAGCTGTACTTTTTATTACAATCTGCATGTGTTTCTCCTGTAGGCACAGTAAGTTTAAAGTTGTATATTACCCGCTAACTAATTCAGTTATTTGGAATTGCTTCGTGCTGCAATATATAATATACACTGTATACAGTCTATATATAGTAATAATATAACTTACTGAAATT